TCTGTCTATTGCTCATGTCTATGACAGCGGAGGCGAAGCCGCAGCGACGTGCCGCAAAATATGCGCCAAAAGCATGCAACATACAAAAGGGGGCGAGCATTTCTTTGCTCCAAAAAAAGAAACAGAAAAAACCCAAAAAAATATATAGAAAATAAAACAAAGAGCAGGGAGATCGGGCATTGCAACATGTTGCCTTTGCTCCGTTGTCTCGCTATATTGTTTCGACGCGAAGCGCATCAATTTCTAGACAAATTCAACACACACATCCACACCCACACCCAAAAAGGTTGAAGGAAACACCCGCTCCCAAATATAGTAGAACTGCGCTTCATGTGTGCAATATCAAATTTGGAAAAACCCAACAACCCAAAACACGAAAAGGATGGCCGCAGACACAGACAGGGGCACAGACACTGTGAAGGGGGGCAAGAAGGTGGGCAAAACGCCAAGGATTCCCCCGATGCAGGCGCTTAAGAAGTTTCAGACATGAAATCAATTTGTCTTCCAAACTCCCACGCAAAACGAAAACGAGCCAAAAACCCGGCAAAATGCAACAGCAGCGGCAGCAACACACACACACACAATTTTGGGGGAACCCCACCAGAGCCACGGCCCTAAAACGAAAAACGAAATGAAAGCAGCCAGCAAAACTGCTGCGGGACAACAGCTGCAATTCCCCCAAGATCGAAACGAATCGAATAAGCCACACCCTATGAAAAAGGAGTGTAAAAATCGAAAAGAGGATTTAAAATTACTTGGATCTCTCGGGTGTTCAAATTTAACTTAGATATTTGTTTAATATAAAAATCTTAGTAAGAGAACCTTTCAAGCAAATCACATTTCTGAGCAAATAACCTATTAAATATTAAGAGGGTTACCCTATTTTGTGAAACTACTTAATTTCAATAATTAATTTCTTATCATTATTAAGCCATAAACTTCAGCTCTGCTGAACCCTTTCTAAAAGTAGCTTGGACTTTAGGAATTATTAAAAACAAATAATATTAAGCTTCCTTTCATGGAGTACAAGTCTCGCTTTATATAGGGCATCAAGGGAAGGATCCTTATCCATATTCACATCCTTCTCATCCGCAAAGTTGGAGTCGTCGTAGTCAAAGGCAGTCATGTGGCAAGACACACACATACACATGGTTTCTGGTGTTGCAATAACTTGTATTTTAAGTTCACTCACTGCTGCTGGAATTCACAATTTAATTTCATAGTGCGATGCGTTGTTATTATTTAGCATAATAACATTTTCCGTTACCCTTTTCGCAGTCTGTTGATTTTCGTGGCCAGGAACTTGTGGGGGATAGGGGTGTATTTCGACCAAAAATGGTAACTTGGCCAATTGTGCAATCGAATGAGGCCTATTAGATGCCGTTCAGCGCATTAGCTGGATGCGCAAAAGGATACGGAAATGGGAAGGGAATGGAGATGGAAATTAGTATGAAACCCAGGACCCTGGACCCAGGACTCCCTCCCCACACACACATATATAGACACCACACACTAACTGCCAAATCAGCATTCCAATGTGCGGCAGTGGTGTGCCAGTGTTTAGCTGAGTGTGTGAGTGGATTTTCGTTTGGGTTAATCGAAATGCGACCGATGGCAAGGACAGGAGTGACCACAAATCAACGCTGCTTCCGGCTGTCCGCCACATTAACCCAATAAACATGTCCACCTTATCACTGTTACCTGTCAAATTACAGGGGAAATTTTTCTATATATTTATATACATATACTTATATATATATATATATATATATATATATATATATATTGGGAAGTTTAAAATCTTTGAGATCGATACTTAGTTAACTGATTCATTTTAATCGATAGAAGTAATATAAATTATCGATGCTGAACCTAATTTTTGAGTTGAATGTAACAATGTGAAACATGTGTAAACATGTGGAATAATATTTTCAATATGGTTTTTTATCATTTTTATGTTTTATGTTGTGTAAATATTTTAAATGTATAAAAATAACTCCTAGTTAATCAATTTATTATGATCAATATTATAAAGAAGATCAGCAACTATTCCGAGTTGAATTTCTTAATGTTCTTGTAAATAAATCTATATTTTGTTGATATAATAATCAAAGTTAAAAGAAATATTTATATAGTTCATAATTTACCAATTAATAACCACCATTGTAATTGACTTAGCTTAAGCTTACATTATTTACCCATGATAAATCCATCTTTGAGTGGAACTGCAAAAGGCTCTGGTGGATACATCACTGTTTTAATAATTTTTATACTATTAATAATTTGTTCTATATTTTCTATTAATATTTCTTTAGCTAAAAATATACCGATCATAGAATTGAAGTCTCCAAATAATCTGTAAACATTTAAAATCAACTCAAAACACTGTATGTACCACACTCAACTTTCACACACATCATTTTGGTGTGGCATATTCTAACCGCACTCTACATTAAAAAAATGATTGCCCCCGTTTAACCCGAAATCAAACATAAAAAAAATAAAAATAAAGAGGGGTGGTGAAGAAAAGCGCTGGAAAACCCTGGAAAAAACACACAAAACTCACAGCATGGGTGCCCCATAATGGCTGCTGCCACATGGGGAGGAATCGAGATTGCGGGGTCTCTATGGGGGAAAACCCATTCCGTGCAGCGGGTTTTCGAGCGTTGGAATTGTCTATTTATTGACAATTCACAGCACGCACCGTGCAAACAGATCATCAAAGGTTATTACGGTCCACGGGCTCCTTCGTCGGCTCTTGTTGCTGTTGTAAATAGATTCATAAATAAAACTACAGCCAAAAAACCGAAAAATATAATCAAATACAAAGAAAAGTATAGACCGACAAGTGAAAGTGTTGTACTCGACTTCATGAAGGATACAAGGATAGAAGGATATTCATATATACCAAGGTAATTTCTTCAGTCTGAATGTCAAAGTTTAAGCCTGGCAGCTCTTTGAAATATTCATAAGTATTTACACTGATAAAGAAACTGATAAAGAAATTAGACAAATTATATTTTAAAATATATATATACTCCCTTTTATTTATTTAAATTATTTTTTTCTGGCCTACATAGCTAGAAAATGAAAAAATCCTTTTAAATGGTCCAAAATAAACAATATTAAAACACGTTTTCTATTTTCATATAATTCCAAAACTTTAAATAATTTATTTATAAATATATCACACTACACCTTAAATATTTCACACCCAAAAAATAAACACAAACACACACATCTCGTTGGCAATCATAAACCAATAAAGCGAAATCATGTGTAGAAATTTTTATAAGTTGGGTGTATTATCAAGGATCCCAGACCAAGCAAAGTCCTCACCAAGAGTGAGTTGGAGCACTTGCCACTTTCTTTTTTGTCCAAATCCTGGCAAGGAGCTTAAGGTTTCAGCTCAATTGTTTTTTTTTCTCCCCTCGACTTTATTTTATTGCTCTTCTTATATTTCCCGGAGTTTTTTGGCCACGTTTTTTTTTGTAGAAAAAGAGTCTTAAAGTGAATCCAAGTGCGTATTATTGATTGAGAAATTCTGTTAAACTTATTCAAAACGAAAGATAAAAAAGTCTTTGCTGACATAAAAATCTATATAATTATATACTTTATAAAAATAAATATAATTTTTACTATGGATTTGAGAGTTTAATATGAGAAAATCTGTCTGTATACTTACTTATACGTACATATGTAACAAGAGAGGAAGTTAATTTCGGGAAACCAAAATTTGATTCCCTTTCTAGAGGGCAATGGTACGTATACGTGATATTCTATTTTGGTTGGGGTAATATTACGTATACGTAATTTTTTATTTGTATTGGGTTTCTCAGCTTAAAAAATCCATAACTAAGCCAAAATGAATTATTTTCCCATCGGAAAACTTTCCTATAATAGTTTTCTTTAAGTTAATAAAACTGCATACTTTAACCTCTTTGTGTTGGTTATAAATATGAAAAGGTTCTATATAATGTAGGTTTCAATCATAACAAAGATTTTTATAATAAACATACCTTTGCGGGGTATTCTAATTTTAGTCAGTAATTAACTATGATCAGTAAGTATCTATAACCAGTAATTATGTATGATCAGTAAGTATCTATAACCAGTAAGTAACTCTGAACAGTAAGTATCTGTGAGCAGTAAGCAACTCTGATCAGTAAGTATCTATGACCAGTAAGTATGTATGTATGATCAGCTACTAACTTTGAACACTAATAAACAATGACTTGCAACTTTTGTAACACAACACATTTCCGAGACTTGGCCGGCAGCTGTCACTTCGTTCCGGAGATGTTAGAACAAGTTGGGAATCATATGTACAGATGTGCGAGATATGTTTTGGAAAAAATTTAAGAGTAAGGTATTTGAATGGAACTATATTCTTCTATATAATTTTACTAGTATATAAGTCGGAGCATTGCGAATCGGTGGACTTTATATATACATATATATAGCTTCCATAGGAACGATCGGAAAATTTTAAGAAGAAATATTATAACTTTTCCAGTTTTCAACAGATTTTCATTAAATTTGATTTATTAATAATGATAAATTAAATATTAATATTACTTTTATTTGTAGTTAACCTGAGGCTGTAACCTGATTCTAATTTAGCTATTTTACTGATGATTAATTTTTTTGTTTTATACATTATTTTAAAAATCTCTTTCATCTCAACTATATAATGTAAATATAAATATGATTATATATATATTTACAAGTCATTTCCGTTCACATCTGTGAAAGGGCTTACACAACTCCCAGTTGAGGCAGTAAAGACAACATTAACGATATCAATTTGTTTGCATTCAAGTTTTTCTGTTTGTCCAGTGAAAATATTGAATGTGATAAACAGCTGCTGCTGCCCTTGACCTTGATCGCTGGTTGGGATTATAGTACATATAGAGCCAACTGGAGAAATGCTTTTCATTAGTTCAACTAGCTCAGTCCAGTCAACTAAGCAAAAAATAAAACTACAGAAATCAATCAACATGCGCGTCTTCTTCCTTGTTGCTCTGCTCGCCCTGGTGGCCATGGCTGCGGCCCAGGGACGTCCTGGCGGTCCACCACGTGGTCCTCCTCATGGAGGTCCAGGCGGACCAGGAGGACCTCCTCAGGGCGGACCAGGAGGACCTCCTCAGGGCGGACCAGGAAAACCTCCACAGGGTGGACCAGGTGGTCAGGGTGGTCAGGGGCCACCACAAGGCGGCAATTCCAGCTCCTCCGAGTCTTCCGCCGAGTCCTCCGCAGCCTCCTCTGAGGAGAGCTCCAGTGACTCATCCGCCTAAAGACGAAACCAATACGATCATCGTCCCTCCCCTAGATCCAAGTCTCCACAATTTGTTGAAAGATATATGTACATAGATATATATAAATATATTCCGTATATTTCAAAAAAGAAAAAGAAAAACCCAACCCTTGGTCTGTCTCGATTCCATTAGACATCGAAATTTGCATTTTCAGATCGACGCTTTCGCCCCTAAAGACAAAAAAAACCCTTGGAAAGTAATGTCAGAGTCCTGCCGCAAGGAGCGAAGGGGCGTGTCTCAAATCGGCTGCCTAAATAAGAAATCATTTTATTTGAAAAGTTTCCTTTTGGCACGCCTGCCTTCTTTCCGCCCGTTCCACCAAAAAAGACGGTGACGTCTGCGACATCAGGAACAAAAAACAAATAAAGAAAAAACAAGAGCACATCCAGCAACTATGAAGGTTAAGGACTTGTTAATACCTCTCACCTATTATTTACAGCCAAAAATTTGGGAAGGAAAACTAGGAAATTCAATTAAAAACTTGTCTATAAAAAAACATATCTATTAAAAAATTGCAAGCACAAATTAATTAATTTATGTATAATATATATAGCTATAATGTACTAATTTTTTTGGGAAGATAACCCTGCAGATGAAACGTATTAATATTAAAATTTTACGTTTTAATGTCAAAACATAAAATACGAATACAATATATATAAATATACGTATTTAATCTCTCTCTTAATTTTATAAAAAAAAATTACATTTTTAATAAGTTTTTTTTGTAATTTTCGTCCTAAAACATTCCTCATTAAATTTTATTTAAATAAATTAAAATATTTCTTCTGTTACAATAAAGTTTTCTCATTAAAAAAAAAATTTCCAATTGTTAAAATCACGCACCTCAAGGTTATAAGTTAAACTAATATAAATAAACAATATAAAATACTAATAAACAAATAAGTCATACCCTCTATCCTTTTCATAGGTATTTTTATATATTACTCTAACAATTGAATTATTTACCATTTGCCGTGAATCTATTTATGATATCCTTAAATTTCAATGGGTAAACACAAAGTGCACATCCTGTCAAGAAATAAACAACAACAGCAACAGCAACAATTGGAGTAACAAAATAAGAGAAAAACGAGAAATAGCAAAGGCAACAAAGTTAAACTGTAACAATAACCAAAGTCAAAGTTGGTCGGCAAAGTTTTCGACTTTTTCGTCCTTGTTGCTGTCGTTGTTGTTGTATGCGTGTGTTCGTGTGTGTGTGTCTGCAGGATACAAATTCATTTCAATTGTTTATATGTAGAGAAATGGGTTGAGTGGCTCTAAAAGGGGGCTAAGAAGGAAGTTGAAAAGTGGCAACGACGAAGAATCTGTGTAAAATGAGTTTGCTGCTTTTTTTTGTGTTCTTTCTTATTTTTTTTTTTTGTTTCTGGGTTTCCTTCGTCTTTTTTTTTTTTGCATCGCTGTTGTACTTTCCAAGATGAAACAAGTTTCACGTGGCTCTGGCGAACGCAACTCCCTCCCCAAGGGCGGCCAGCAGGATCCAGGATCGGATTCTGGGGCAGGACATGCCGCATCGCATACCTGCAGACTTCTTTCGCTTCACTTTCTTTTTGGCAGCGAAATGCCAGAGAAATGCAAATAAAACTTTTCGTTGTTGGTCTTTTGTTTTCGTTTTATACATATATATTTTTTTTTTTCTTTTTTTTTATTTGCCTTTGGCTTTTTTTATCCGTGGTTTTAGCAGCTTAACCCTTCTAACTTGCAACCCTCAAAAGAGAGAAAATAATAACAAACGATAAAAAACTAGAGTACAAAATGTGGCAATTTTTATTTCACCCAAAATGCCAGGAAAATCGTTTGCAATTAAAGTGCCAGCAAATGCTGAAAGAAAATATATGTTAAAGCTTTGGCTTAATTGCTAATATTTATACGTAAATAGTTAAATTAAATCCTTAAACTAATAGTAAATTGGACAAGGTCTGTTGAACGTTTTTAGATATTTTAAAATATATTTCGTAAATATTTTAGCAAAAATACAGCATTGTCTTCTTAATATTTGTTGAATTTTGTTTTTTAAATAATACATGTAAGGCAAGAAGTTAACAACATTCTGATAATAATATTAATAAAACAAATACTATTTCTATTCTTTCTTTTTTATTTATTAATTCAATAGAAAGTGTGTAAAAGCACTTAGTTCAGACTATAAATTAAGTGATATTTCATAAAGTTTAATTAATTCCATACACTTTAAGTACAATGTAATTGCACAAATATATTAATTATTAATTATAATTACAAATTTGTTCAATATGTTGCATGTGTCGTCGTCTCCCCTCTCGCTCGCTCCCTTCGTGGCGGCCATTGCATTTTACTAACTGTCCATTACCATCGTTCGACACTCACTCGCTCCCTCACACTCACACTCCCACGCACACGCAGCCGGCGGCTGTTGTTAGAAAGAGAAGAAGACGTGCAGACAAACAACAGACAACAAACAGGATGAGCAAAAACTTAATTAAGCATTTTGTTATACGGAGACGGAGGCGAGGCTGAAACAAAACAAATTCCTCTTTAAATAAAGCACCGAAGCAATTTATTCCAATTAACAAAAACAACAACAACAACATCCTCGGAGAATGCATATATGCGTGAGCAAGATGACGATATGTGCATACACATTTAGCAAAAAGGGATGGAATGCTGCAGGCATCAGATGGAAATAATTGAACAAAAACACTTTCCAACACTGCAAATGACAGTTGGGCAAAAATTTCGACCCAAAAGTCTTCCAGGAGGAGAGTAAGAGGAAAAGAGATAGATAGTGTGGTAGATAGGAAAACTCTAAATATGTAATTGAAAGTAAATGTGGTTTAATTAAGAATTTAGTAAACAAAAAATATGCAACGAACAAATAATAAATTTTTAATGAATGGTTTAATTTGGGAAAAGACAACAGTATACATGTAATTGAATTCATTTAAAGTAAAATAAAACAAGACTGGAAAAGCGTTTGTAAATTTAATAATAATAAACACAAACTACAAATATTATTATTATAAGATTTTCAAACCCTTTGAATCTTCAAAATTCACGTGTTTAAAGAACGTGGCCTAACATTATTTACAATCAAAACAGTTGTCCAAACATCACCATCGAATAGCAAAGGCGATTATGAAGAAATAATCATTGTTTCACTTATATTTATTATTGATGCCCAGCAACTAATAAGTCCAGTGACCAGTTTATTTGTCCAGTAAAACATTGCATTAAATAATCATCGTTCGGCACTTTACTATATCTGGGCTGTTGTGTAAATATTTTCCACATTATGTTGACTTAGAAACCAAGTCCAAATCATCAGTTATTTTTTTTACGTAAAACGGAATAATGCAAGACAAAGACCAATACACAAAGATAAAAATAGTCTTTTTTATCTAATTTGATTTAAAGCTATATTTTATTATTATAGAATTTCGATTTTAGTTTTATGAAAATCGGAATACTATATAATGTAACTGCCAATGTTAAGTATCAGTAAGTATCTTTCAACAGTATGTATCAATAAACATTAAGTAACTTGATCAGTAAATAACTATGATCAGTAAGTATCTATAACCAGTAAGTAACTCTGATCAGTAAGTATCTAAGACCAGTAAGTATGTATGATCAGCTACTAACTTTGAACACTAATAAACAATGACTTGCAACATTTGTAACACAACACATTTCAGACTCTTGGCCGGTAGAAGTCACTTCGTTCCGGGGACGTTAGAACCAGTTGGGAATCATATGCACAGATGTGAGAGATTTGTCTTGGAACAAATTTAAGAGCAAGGTATTGAAATGAAACTATTCTTCTATATAATTTTATTAGTATATAGGTCGGAGCATGGCAAATCGGTGGACTATATACATGTATATATTTGCCATAGAAACGATAGAAAAACTTTAAGACAAAAAAAAAACTTTTCCAGTTTTCAACACATTTTCAAATTTAATATATAGCCATTATATATAGCTATATCATATAGCTGCCATACAAACGATCGTTAAAAATAGAATGAAATGAATTTATTCCTTACTTAATTGTTTTTGAATTTTGAATTTATTTTGTTTTATTTCCTAGTGATTGAATTTCCATCTGCAAAGGTATACAAACATCGGAGTGCCGAAGTTAGCTTCCTTTCTGGTTTTCTTTAAATTACCTATCGTATAGTGTTTCTTTGAATTTATTTACATTTTATTTACAAAATAACATTATTAACATTTAATATAAGACAAGAAATTATGTTTTAATTTATGGAATAATTAATATAAAAACTGAAATGTAATAAGGTAAAATTTATATTGAGATATAGCTGGGCAAATGTTGAGAAGAGCATGCTTTGCAACACTTACTGCTGCTGGCAACACATAGATGTTGCACAGCTTTTGTAGCATACTATTTGGGGTATTTGCTTTGTAATTTAAAATCCATATTAACAAAATGTGTATTAAAAAAATTATAAATTAAAATTTAAGAACTTAAAAAGCATATATAAATGTTATATAAAACAAATGACAATTGACCAAATTCTTTCTGCACTACGTAACTCACTTAAAACTCCCACTTAAAACATTTCTTTACTCAGATCTTATTACTAGATTATGTATTTTTTATTTTTCAATATAACATTTAATTATAATATATAAATGTTTGATTATATATATATATAAAGTTTGATTGTTATAGCGTCCGTCGTTGTCCGCCTAATTGGGTATAAAGTCTAGCCCCGGACCCATCACCGGTTTACTATTTAATTGTATTTGGTCAATTTCCGGCAAAACCAAAACGGAGCACAGCACTTGTTAACTTGTTTTCAAAAAAAACGACTCAAACCGTCCCCCACAGAGAGACGAGATGAGCAAGGAGCAACAGTATTAGGTGGCATTAAAAGTTATGGAACAACAGGATTATGGCGTTGATCTAACAAAAACACAACCAACAAACACACTCAAACTGGTTTTTTTTTATT